CAGATCACACCATGCAGGTACCGAACTCCGCCGCGCAACCCGTGGTCCAAGGCCTCAGAGCTCCTCTGCTAAAAATCCAAAGGTAACCGACCGAGGAGGGGTCCGCCGAGATACCACTTCCTATCCAAGCGGATTTCTATACCGACAGCATCTAAACTGTTTCTACTCTAATGCTCAAGGACTCCTCGGCAAAGTTCCAGAGTTGAAGTTACTTTTTATATCTGGTCAATGGGATATTATTGCTGTTACAGAGACTTGGCTCACAGCTGATATTTCGGACTCCGAATTGTCTTTATCAGAGATGTTTCTACTCGGAAGCGATTGTCCTACCCGTGGTGGTGGTGTTTTACTCTAGTTCCGAAACAGTCTTGATTGCGAGCAAATCTACCCTCCGGTTTCGACACCGGACACTCTGTGGTGTAGGTTGAAGTTGTCCAAACATGATGATTGTTTGATTGGTGTAGTCTATCGTCCCCCATCATCCTCGGAGACGGCCAATAAGACGCTTTTACTAACTATGTCACACATTCTTACACAAAAATTCACCCATGTTCTCCTTATGGATGATTTTAACTGCCCCAATCTCAATAAATCAGCTACCATCCGCCCATTTTTCGAACATCATTTCAAACGGCTGATTGACTCGCATCCACCATACAACCATGGAAAGGTGGCCACTAGGTTTGACAATCTTCAGTCGCCGTCCATACTGGATTTAGTGTTGACCAATGAGGAGCTGATGGTAGAGTTTGTCAATGTGACTTCTCCCCTAGGACATAGCGATCATGCAGTACTTACATTCAAATACGTCTGTTACGCATCGATTCAGGGAAGTTCCTCTAGTAACACGCGCAGATCCATAGACTACACATTGTTGAATAACTTGGCGCTCTCTACTCAGTGGGTTTCTTATGACGAAGAAGCTAATCCGTTGGTTGCATGGAAGAAATTTACTGACAATCTCACAAATATAATAACATCTCTGATAGAACATCTCGAACGATACAGCATTCTCTCGACAGCTCAACACGGGTTTAGGCAAAAGCGATCGTGCACCACGAACCTGCTTCTCATTCGAGATGAATGGACCAGTACAGTTGACGAAAGGGATGCGGTGGATGTTATTTATCTCGACTTCGCGCAAGCATTTGATCGAGTGAATCACAAAATTTTACTGCAGAAGGTCTATAATTATGGCGTTCGTGTTTCTGATCCTGTATCCGGACCCATTAAAGCCACCCGCGGTGTTCCACAAGGGTCCGTACTCGGCCCCCGTCTGTTCCTCGCCTTCGTAAATGATCTACCCAAAGTGTTAGGCTTAAAAACAATACTGTTTGCAGACGACGCCAAAATCTGGAACACGGTAACAGAACCAGAGGGCTCTCAAACACTTCGGGAATCACTCAACGCAGCTTATCAATGGTCTAAGGAGAACGACATTGAATTTAATGTTTCTAAATGCAAAGTCCTATCTCTACGCCACAGGCGGAAATTCTCGTATTTCCTCGGGGACCAGCAGCTACCACATACTTCTAGTGAAAAGGACTTAGGTATTGTTGTTCAAGAGGATTTAAGCTGCTCCAACAACTGTGCTAAGGCTTCGTCTGCTGCTATGAAAAATGTCGGCTTACTTCGGCAAGTCTTTGGCCGATTTGAATCATCACTATTCCCACGTTTGCTATCAGCGTACATTCGACCCTATACAGANCGCCATCCAAGCTTGGAGTCCATGGCTTCAACGTGATCGCAAGATGCTTGAGCGTCCACAAAGGATGGCCACCAAGATGGTCAAGGGATTCCATTACCTGACATACGAGGAGAGATTGCGATCATTGGGACTATATTATTCTCAGAACCGCCCAACTCGAGGAGACTTGATTTTGACTTACAAATACTGCAGAACCCAAACCATCCGTGTCGATCGCTTCTCATGTTATCGAACAATGTACACCTAAGGGGACACCGTTTCAAACTACTGGTTCCAAAATCTCGACTGGATTGCCGGCGCCAGTCTTTTGCTGTCAGAGTATGCAAATCTTGGAATGCCCTTCCATCTCATGTCGTTTGTGCACCCACTATTGAATCTTTCAAGCAGAGACTCGACGAAACCTTGGCACACCTCACATTCAGTACACTAAGGCAAACGGAAATTCACTGTAGCCTACATTCTCTATCTCCTACCCGGATCTCTATGCGAATCCTTTTTCAATGTGTAACGATTCATCTGTGCAAATATCCTATGTAACAAGCGAAGCACTAGCTTGTAAGCTATTCCCATAATAAAACTTTGACTTTGACATTGGTCAAGTACCTGAGTTGTCCTTTCATGTGGAAAATATCACTAACCTATTCTCCCCTGATGCCGACACAATCAGACTGTACATTGACGTGGTGTGATGGCTTGCGTGCCTCCATGGCCATGCAAGCTATACAGGATAACTGTTCACCGCTGCAGAGCCCACTATGTCTGAAAGGTAGAGGCCAGCCTGAGCTCAGTCTCACAAGGTCAGCTCCTGAATTCCTTTGACTATTTACGCTAGTTCCTGTGGAGGTCACTCTAGCAAATATATACGGTGGGAGCAGTTTATCGGTCAAAAAACCCAGCTAGATGGACGTGGGAGTGAGGTACCTGGAGCTTCCACCTGACGGAGACAGAAGACTTTGCACTTCACTGGACATGTATAGCTCATCCTAGTTGGGCAGTACCCAACCAGCTAATACGGTACTGTCCCGTCCACGTTCCGCTTGTCGCACTGGGTGGATGATAATAAGAGCCAATCCTGAAAATCAACACACTAGCGAACAACACACAATGGAAACCCGAAGGCCTTTCGTAAAGGGTTTATGAAAGCTCGCACTCGGGTGCTTCGATCACGCTCCCTCCTTGGATCTACAGTACTGGCCGATTGTGATGCACTAAATATTTTCTTTATGATCAAAGGGAGTTTCATTATATTTATCACCCATATTAAAGACTCTCCAAGACTTGTTTATTATTAGTTTTGAAAAAACTTTACTTCAGTATAAATGCTGTTGCCCATACGAACCGACAAGTGTTTCACAAAGACCTGTTGCTTCAGTTTCGATTAGACCTGTACGCCCCACTGTCTTTTGGGTCATACTTTTGAGTCCAAGGCTCCGGTTAGGGTTCCAAAAGATACCCCATTCTTCGGGGTGGGCTACCGCAAAGTATATCTTGCCCCAAGGTCTTAGGCTTCCATCGATAAAATCCTCTTTTTAGGTTGTCTAGTTCTTCCTCTCACTCTCCACTGCAATTATCATTTTGCTCTCTTAAGATACAACCTCATCCTTACGCTTCACTCTCGTGTGTCAGGTGATTCGGCACCCGACGCTCGCTGGTTTGCTGTGTTGGAATTGAGCTGTGTCAGCGCTAAACATTCGTTCATTGACTGGATTCCTGTCAGTAGCCGACTGTGCACTGTACGTCTCAACAGTTCAGTACGGGTCACCAGTTACAGATCGAGGCGTCGGTGCTTATTCATCGTGTCCGTGAATGTACTGACCGATCACAATGCACCAGAAATCAAGGATGTATTCTACAACGATCTTTCTCAGCTGCTACAAAGCGCTCAATCAACGGACATCGTGGTACACGATAGAGACTCCAATACTCAAGTGGGATCTCTGGAAGAAGCAGTAAGGTGCCTAGGAAGAGATCACCTACTTCAACTTTACGTGTAATACTTATTGTTTCTATTCAGCATCAACTTCTTCCCAAAGCAAACAAACCGCATTGCTTTATAATTGCCAACATTTTCAGAGCGATGGACTCAAATCGACCACATCGCCAACTAGTGGAAACGGACTACGCTTTGTTACGAGCGAGATTCTCCCTACGCCTGGTAATCAAACGCCACAGGGCCACCGGATGCCTATAACACAATGTCAGCAATATTTGCAAATCGGCCTTCGAAACGGAACTATCTGATCACCTTTTCAACTCATCCACCAGCAGAAAGACTCATTAAAAGCCTGATGGTAATCAAGAAAGCGATCCTTATGTCACTCAACATAACCACGGATTCTGGTGCACGATCAAAGCGAAAACGATGGACCTCCTCGACCTCAGCCACTCTGGACGCTCGTAAAGCCATTCCTACTGATTAGCACAGGTCTTTTAAACGCCGGCTCATGAAGAGCTTGAAGATTGGCCACGAGAAGTGGTGGGTAGGAAATGGTACAGAGCGGGAAAAGGCTGTGGCTATCGGTAATAATCACAATTTGTTCCGTTTAATTGGGACTGCGAGCCCAAGGCTCAAAGGTGTAGGTGAGGTATTTGAGGAGTTTGACAGAACGCTGATTCATATTCAGTAAAGTATTTCAAAGGTTACAGGGCTTCTGGCCCAGACGGTCTGTCCCCATCGATTTTTAAGGATCGAGGTTCAGCCTTGCGTTGTAGTTGACGAAACTCCTGGGCTCAATATGGGAGAGGGAACAGGTTCCAAGTGAAGATCCAGGTAAGTTACAAGCTTTTCTGGATAGCTTGAGTACCGGTGCAGCTATGTTCGGTCTGCATTTCGCACCTTCAACGTGCGAAATGTTGCTACAAGTGTGAGTTGGTCCAATACCCAGTCTCACTCTAAATAGGGAAACAATAGACCAACTGGACAAGTATTTGTACTTGGGAAACTACATCTCATCCGGTGGCCGCAACACGAATGAATGTTCAGCAGGGATGCAGGAGGCTCGCTTGACACTTGTCAATTTGAGACATCTGTGGCGCCGCCAGGACATCCGGCTGGCCATAAAGAGTCGATTATGTGCTGCGGCAGATCGGTCAATTCTACTGAATGACGCAAAAACTTAGCCATTAGGAAAACCGGATAAAGATAAACTGTAAGTGTTTGAACACCGCTGTCTGCATTGAACTGCACGAGTCTGATGGGTAAACCGGACAAGCAATGCTGGGGTTGGGTGCAAAGTTTTAGGTATTCGCGGGGGTCCACTGGTGCAAGTGAACGACCTCCATCGATTAATTTGTTTGTGTTGCGCAATAGATTGCCACAATGCGTGCTTTTTGGTGAGACAGGTACTGGGTGGAAATAAAGTAAAGGGCAATGAAACGCAGATCTGATATGAGGATGTGAAAACCCAGACCAGGTGACTTGCTCATATAGGACGCGTGAGGTTTCCTGGATGGAGGCGTCAGGATCAACGTAACCAATGATTAGATAATGAGTGAGAGAGTCGTAAACAGTAGCGTTTGTGCATCTCAATTTCTTTGCTAAGTTAGTCAACATGAATTATTTTTTTCCTTTCGATATTGACTTGAACATTTCAATTTTCTTTTCACGCCTTAATCCAAATGGGGCAAGTAAATGCATGGTTAATGGTTTTAAATTATGAAAATATAAATTTATCGTCGCTTTTTCGTTCGACGTTCGTGGGCTTGCTTTCTGGGCAAAGGACCACACAGAAGTGTCGATCACTCTGAACCCGTACGGTTCAAACAGAACTTGTGTTAGGCCGACAACACAAGAAGGCTCTTGGAGTAGATCTGTTTAGCCGATGACGTTTCCTTGTACAAATTATCTAATCCCGTTTATTTCTCACAATGAACCGGATCGCTACTTCTGTGGCTTTCTTCTTGCGTCTCGGTGGCGGTAGATTCCAGCATATGATTACCAGGGCTATTCCGCGCTTCATCTGCGATTGCGTTGCGTGATTCACATCTATTCTAATCACTACACCCTCCCCCGTCAACCGTGAAGATGGGAAAAACTGTTCTCTAAGGCTTACGCCTTTTCAATCCTCATGGCTCTAAGAGCGGGAAATAACACACCCTTGTTTGAGTTTCGCGTGCTTGTTCCTGCGCAGTCGGTGTAAAAAAGAAGAATTTCCAGCGTTGGTTTTTTTCTGGAAAACTCCTCTTTTCACTGCTGCTATGTACAAGCCTGGAATTATTGCTTGACAATTATCCGGAAATCTAAAAACCAATTTGTCGTAAGAGTAACGGACCAGATAATAGTTCTCTATGTAACCGCTTGTCCGTTGCTAAACCGCTTTCTGGAATTGTTCCCCTTCAGCTCTTTCACCAGGTAGTAACGCATCTGGCTATCTGGCCCCTGATATTCCAAAAAGGCCAGTGTATTGGTCTTCCTATTTGTTTGAACTAGTTACGTCAATGATGATAGGAGGCAAGACTGCAGGCAGCGAGCGTTTGTTAATTTCCAACAATTTTAGGATATTATTTGACATGGTTGTGTCAATTGTACGCCCAGAAAAAATGTTGAAAAAAGAATACACGGGCAATGGTTGTACAAAGTCAAAAATTTTATCACAGGACGTGCTAACAATCTGTTCTTTTTGTTGTGCCAAAACGATTTGGCAAAGATGAATCGGTTATCCGGACAAGGATAGATGTGTGGAATGCTGTATGCAGTCTCCAGTTAGAGAAATGCCACATGGTTTCATTGTTTCCAATAAATTTATGGATGTTAAAATTGCATGGATTTATCATATCTCTCCCTAAAAGCATTAATAGTGGGCTTATAAAAAACGTAAATTGACGATGAATTCCAAATAGTGCTAACTAGGAGACGGGAGAAGATGCCAATATTCCAGTCCACATTTCTGTAGCACTTAAATTGATTGGATCTGTATTTAGGTTAGTGTTCAGCGATAACGTCAGCAGCGGAGAATACCCAAATTCAACTTCCTCAAATTCGATGATGTTGACTGCGGCAAGCCTTTTCCGAGATCGATTTCAAAAGAAAAGACCATAGCAATACTATACAATTTATATCCAGGACGATTTCGCTGTATCTCAATACTGCGGAAAACGCCACAAATCCAATAAAGCAAATGAACTCGACAGAGGGAGAGGGTTAAAAGGAGGCCTATTTCAAGGGGTTTAGCACAAGAAAACATAAAGTTCTTTTTTTGTTGATACTTTCATTGGTTGATTGCTGTAGCTTCAGAAAACCATAGAGATCTTGTGACTTGTAGAAAAACCGAAACTCCGTGCTTTGATCGATCTGGTGTTGCTTAATCAGATGATGTTGAGATGCGGTTAATGAGGGGTTTGCACTATATACCATCATTTCTATACCACAAATTTAACCTCGATTGCGTAATCTGGCTTTGAACCCACTTTGAAATAGATTGAACCACCAGGTTGCGCAATTGTCGCTCTGTTCTACCCACGTAGGTCTCTCTACACTCATATTAGAATTGTTAGATTAGATCTGGTTTGATGTACAGAGCCAGGCGTTATTTTGCCCGGGCGGGGGGGGGGTCGTGGGTATTTTAGTTTTACATTCCCAGATGATTCACACATGTATTCTAAAATTTGACACCAGCTCATTTATCTGCGAGCGTAATCCCTTCTTGTTAGTGAAACGAACTTGGACAGTAGAAATAAAGACCGTAAAGCTCGATAGCGAGAAGTTCGTCTATACACTCGGAAGTTCTTAGTTAAAATCAGACTGGAACAAAAATTAGTACGCCCGTTGCTTTTTCTCCAACGGGATGAAGCAGCTGAGGAGTGTTGCCATTTGGCACTCACTATACACAAATTTATAGCAATTAAAACCGTTTAAAGCGAGGAATTGAGAAACTCCGGAGGAGAGGGTAATTCAAGAAGACGTTGTTGTCAGTGACACCATAGATTGTCACTTTGAGAACAGTTTGAATCAGGCTTCTTTGAATAAGTTAGATTAAATTCTATTCTCTACATGCGCCAAGTGCAGCAATCGCAATAGACGTGAATTACGGGTCACAAATCGCCATAGTACTGGTAATCATATGCTGGAATCTACCGCCACCGAGACGCAAGAAGAAAGCCACAGAAGTAGCGATCCGGTTCATTGTGAGAAATAAACGGGACTAGATAATTTGTACAAGGAAACGTCATCGGCTAAACAGATCTACTCCAAGAGCCTTCTTGTGTTGTCGGCCTAACACAAGTTCTGTTTGAACCGTACGGGTTCAGAGTGATGGTTCTTTGCCCGGAAAGTATCACGCGTAACTCCTTGACTGGGGTTATTTCGGAGGCTAGGATTACCACATAACTTAATATCAAGTGCTGGCTAAAATAAGTATGCTTTGTTTTACTTTCAAATCAACCACAGGTTTAGGGCGGATTATAATATTTACACGAGCTCGAAAACTGAGAATTTTGAGACGGGGCACTATTAAAATGACGATTGACTGACAAAGATAAATCAGCGTTCGTCAGAATAAAACCATCTAATAGGACTATCGCACCTAAAACAATCCCTATAAATTAAGCTGACAGTGAAGCATTTCCTGAGCCACATCTACCACAACAGTAAATATTTTTAGATCATAACAGGTGCGTAAACCACGGTTGACGTCACATTTATTTTGAGAAACTCATGGAACCAATTTCCGACTTGCGATTATCTTCCCTCCTTTGATCGCAACACATTTGTAGAAACCACAGGGTGAAGAAAACCCCTCTTCTCGGTCTAAGGCGAGATCACTGTTGTTCCCCCTCCCAATTGCCCCTTTTCCGATCCTATGTGCACACGTTCTCTTCAGTCACTCTNGCGTCAGCCCTCGTGCTAGTCATTGTCTACGGTTGTTTGATGACGGGTTCTCGTGTCCAATGACCTTTGGGTGTCTACCTATCGATCCCACCCGTGTCATTGTCTTCTGCACTAAGGTGGCTTTGGTGTTTCATTGCTCCGGTCCATAACCACCCCAGTCCCTATATGCCCCGTCACTGGCCCTGTGGACCCACTCGTTGTCTTGCTCTTTGAGAGTGCATACCTGCATACTTTGATCACTGGCTGTTCACGTTTGGTGAACAGAATCCCTTACTTGACCTAACAAGTATTTATTTTTCCTCTTTGTATATTTATGTGCTTGNTCACTTTTCTGGCTGTATAGTGACTGAGTCGCATTGTTGAGG